GGGGGCCGAGCGTTGCAAAACATATACCCAAGCACCTCTGAACTTTTGTTGTTACACCGATTTGCGGAGTCTCGATTTCTATACCTATTGCATACGCGTCTCGCATTCAGAATGGGCGTTGACTCGTCTTCAGGGAATTTCAAGGTCCCTCTTGTTGGTTTTGCACGGTGCGGTAAAAAGATTGGAAAGTTGAGGCCACGAGTACGAAACATCTAAGCCGTCCTGAAAGAAACTTGAACTTTGCACAAGCATGAAAGGCGTTCTTCCTCTCTTCTTTGTCTGTCAATGCTGGATTTTATCAAGATATTATCACCATTCGACACCCCCCGCCCCCTTTCCTCCCCTTTTCCTCTTTATCTCTTTATCTCTTTTTCTCTCTTGTCCCTTTCTCTTACTCTCTCCTATTACTCTCTTTCTTTTGCTCCCCCCCCCCCCCCTCTCTCTCTCTCTCTCTCTCTCTCTCTCTCCCCCTGCTCTCTCTGTGTGGTCTTTTAAAAATCTTCTCTCCAGTTCTCACTTCAGCTGTTTGTCTTCCTTTCGCTCTAAATCTATCATCTTGCCTGTCCCTCAACTAACGTTTGCTCTCGTTGTCTCATAACAGACACATACACACATACATATTACACATACATACACACACGCAGCAAGCACACACCAACGCACGAACGTTACAGAACATTCTCATCCCTTGGCAGGAAAAATTTTCTAAAACAAAGAGTCCAATATGGTAGCAATAATTCTTACATGGACTGTCGGAAATATCTGACAATACTTTTTGTTCAGAAGGTTTAACCGTAGTTTACCTGCCTTAATTGTGAGTTCACGAGAGAGCAAGATTACAATTTCCGTTCAGATTACACAGAGCCACAAAGGCCAACGCGATATAAAGACCCACATTTGAATGAAAAAGCAACCCCCTAAAAACCTTTATAATTATGTGCATAATAATATAACTCGTCGAAGACCAAATTTGATTCAAAATGTATTATGGGCTCTATGAACACACCACTTGTCACTAGGCTTTTGACTTTGGAAATAACAGACACGAAGTGTCAGGTATTAATTTATTTTTTTTTCAAATTCGACCAAACGGCCTCGTTTTCTGTATAAACATTGTAAGTTATCTGTGCCTAAGTTTTGTTTCTGCCAGATTATGATGCAGTCAAAAACTGATTCATGTTTGCATGCGTTCCTTGAGCTTTCCTCATATATCTAGATCTACTGGAGAACAAATAACAAAAAGCGAAAATTCATAGTCTCACCCTCTTCATGAAAATATTCCAGAAATCCAAAGAGACGAAAGGAAGCACCGTACTAGTCTTTATAGGGATTTATATTGTCACCACTTCCTGCCTGGGATAATTTTTTTCTCTATTGTCACTCGCGTTCTTGTGGCTGCTCTAAACCAATATTTTTCTGTGAGGGGGGCTTGGCATGTCCACAGTAGAGCCCTAATCTATTGTGCACGGGGCATTTATCTGATCTCTAGTAGTATAAAAAAGCCAAACCCGTGGACATTATTGTGGCCGGTAGGCTCGCCCTGTGCCCCCCTTTGCTCACAGGCTGTCAAATACAGGTAATCGACATGTTTTTCATTTCTGTCTCATGGTGTCTGCGCCGGGTACAGCT